GTAAATGAATTTCCCTGACAGAGACCTCTCCTCCTGACAGGTACTGGTAATGTAATGTTTTCCTACCTGACAGGTCCCCGGTTATAAGACCTTGGAATGTATTTGAATGTTTTCCCCCCGCTGTTCTCCCTCAGCCGTCCTGCTGATAAAAATCATGTCCTGGCGTCTTTGCTCAGATTTGCAACGGAAAGTTATCTCGAGGTATTTTTATCTGGTGGAGAGAGCGGACTTTAACATGAAGTTTTAAAGGAACTGGATTACAGTTGGTCCCTGTTGCATCTCAGAGATTTTACATAATAAATATTAAAAAAGTGTTTGTCTGAAAGTCATAAGGCCGTTTAACCGTTACCCGTGCACGTGCTGTTAGGTGTTGACTTCTTACTGCTGACAAGTCATGTCACCATATACCAAATATATGTGGGTCTCCCCCCCATAAACAGGAGAACTAAATAATTTAGCTAACATCTCGCATCCTTAAACTTTTAACGTTATCCGTGCAAAATATGACAACTTCAACTGAAGTTGGGCCGGTTGTGCCAAACAAGAAAATCAATGTTTTTTTCCCTGGTCCCTCTCAGATAAATAAAAAGCCCATTCCTTTATTCTTGATTTGAGCTAAACAGAAATGGTTCCTGTTGAATAAATGATTGGTTATGATAAATGTGACAGAAAGTTCAATATTCTTTATATTCATCTAAAGGGTCGTATCACGGTCTCGGATGCTTAAAGGTTGAAAAGGGAACACCAAAGCAGCATCTAGTGTGTGGAGGTCGTAGTTGTAACACTAGAACAAGGTCGCCAGGTTTGCTGTTGATTTTTGAACGATTCCTTATTCTGTCTGTTGTCGGCTTCTCCTGAACTCACTCTGGTTTTAGTTCTTTTATAGAAATGTCATTTTCTCAGCTCTTCTGAGAAATTTAATGACATCATCTGGACTCAGAAGCAGCTGCTTGACTTGCCAAGTCCTCCATTTTCCACAGAGCCAGCCTCGATGTGCCCCCTGTTGGCTGGTAGATGTAAACATAAACCCAGTGTCGTGCTTGTCAAAATAAGTATTTGATTATTTTTAAAATAAATTAAAACTTTTAAAGGAAATACTCTACCTTCATTCTCGAATCACCCTGTGAAGGTATTATTTTTTTAAAAATAGCCTTTTATTAAATAGTTCCATATTCAAGCTTTAACTGAATAAAACTATTTTTAAGATAAAAACTGAATTTGTTTATATATATATATATATATATATATATATATATATATATATATATATATATAATGTTTGTAGTTTAGTTGTATTAAAAAAATCCCTGAAACTCCAGTTTTGAACGGTGTGAAGCTGAATGGTCTCACTACTGTTGCAACCTACTGACATCTTTGCAGTGTAAACCTGAAGCATCATTTTATATTGAAGGAGAGCCAGAACAACATTAATGTAATGTATTTTTTTTTCCTCTTTGTGTCTGTTCACTTGTTTGAACACACGTTTAGGTTAACGTGTGTTTGGGAGGTGGATGCTCCAGATCCAGTCCTCTCTCTGTTAGTTTAGGCTCGACAGTGTGACTCCATGAAGCTCTCGGAGACCCGGCTGTATAAATATTTGGACATCAGTAAATATTCCTTCAGTTGTGAATTTGACCATGCAAACATCAACTCGATTTTCTGTTGTTCTGAAAGCGGTTTCCATACGAACACGTTTGTGACTCGGGCGACGAGTCAGTCCCAACAATAAATCAGCTTCTGTACTAATCAGTTACTGTTTTCCACTCAGACAACAAAAACATCCTTTTTTCTGTCACTTAGCATTAAAAACCTCCAGTAAAAGCAGAAGTTTGAAACTGAAGAGGAAGGAAACGTAGCTCTTACCCTCTTTTATCCGCCTCTGCTGACCTTCAGGATTTTGCCGTCCCATCCGAAGCTGTGCCCCAGAGCCTTTCAAATCAACAAATACTTGTGATTATGAGTGATGCCACCAAAAAGCACAACTGACTTATTTATTATTTTTGGGAAAGCTGGGACGTTTCTCTCTCCAGCATTAGAAAATGTTTTTCTTGTGTTGTGGCGAGCTCGATGTTTGAAAGGCGATTTTGCTCCGGAGGTCTGCGTTTTCTCACCAGTGCAAGTGGTATATTTAGATGTTGATTATGGATAATCAGCTGTAATGACGGAAGTGCATGGCATGTGTGTTTAGACTCAACGCCATCATCATGGAGCACAGACCAAACAGAGCTGTCGCATCGACTTCAGATTGAAACGGGCCGTTTCCATGAATAGTCAAACTTTCATTCATGCACACGCTCGCACGCCGAGACGGAGAAAACCAAACTTAACCCCGACTAGGTATATAAAACATCTGGAAAATTTCTCTGACTGACTAGTTTTCAGTCAGGATCAAGGAAAAGCACACACTTTGTTGTCCTATCTGCTGTTAGAAGGTCAGGTTAAAGGTCGGAGGTCACAAATGGCTGCTTGTATCATCTCATCAGGACTGCCGCGGTTGTGGCCCTCCTATCGCAGCCGTAAAAGCTGCAACATCACTGACCAGGTCAGCCAAAATCCAATATTCTATCAGTGATCTGTCCCCTTTTCTTTTGTCTCTGGGAGATGTCCCTCAGATCAGGGTCATTGCTTTTTTAATTCGACTAGAAGGATCCGTTCTGCAGCCCATAATGACATCATCAGTCTTCTTTCACCTTTGTCTGTGACCACTAAATGCCACTGGCCTCTACGCTTTATGTCAACACTGAAAACAAAATTAAACACAAAACTGTCAACTGGATTCAGTCTCAGCTAATGAATGGTTTAATTATATATATTAGATTAATTCGATTTTCATTACAGGTTTAACTTTTATTTACAGCCCTACTTCCTGTGGTGTTAATTAGAAATCCAGCTCTTAACAACGTGTCTAGGTGTAGAATCTCCTCCCTGCTGCAGGCTTTCAATCCTGGTTAATGTCCTTCAACTGCACTCCCAGCTTCAGCCAGGGCCTCGATGCTTCAGCCACAGATCCGTCTGCCAGAGCTCGTCTCCCAAGCCCAGACTCGTATTCCCAGTGTGCCCTCTTTATTTGGAATGTATTGTAAACACGGTCAACGCCAATATGGCCTGGCAGGACGAGAAGCGGTTATGAACTGAGGTTAAGTGTAATGTTTTCTGTGGGAGGTTGCAGTTGGTTCTGGAGTGACGGTGTGCAGACGTTTAGGAATGGCTCCCCTGGCTTGGCGCGTGATTGTGTTTGATGGGGATGTACTTGTTTTGCTGAAGAGGGAAAAGCGATATGGTTTCCAAATGCGTCACACATGTACAAATATGTTTGGGTGAGTATTAGCAACTCTTGTAAAGGGACCTTTCCTTCCTCCTCGTAGCGCTGATATCCTGCTCCCTCTGGGATCTCTAGGCTTACTGAGAAGCTAGTCGCTACGTAAACACACGGCTTCCTCCGTCAGCTCTCGAGATGACAGCCGAGTGTAAGAGATCGCATTATTAGCTTTTCATCTGCAAGTTGTAATCGTAAACATAGATTAATGCAGAATTTTCTTTAACATTCATATTTTTAAATTAATAGATTTTTTTATAAATATGTAGCTGTGATGTAGTATTTTAGTAAGTTGTTTAGCAGTTGGAGTCCCTGAACAGTTTTCCCCCTTTCGCTTATTCCTCCATTTCCCTGGAGAGGAAAGGGGGGAAAGTGCTTTGAGGTTCAGACCGGGCCCATGACCTTGTTGCTTTATTATTCTTTTGACGCTTGCGTTGAAGGTGTTGAAATATTGAACAGAACACAAGAGAGACGATGACCGCCGAGTTTCTTTTCTCGTTTTTGTCCCCTTCCAAGTGGAGGATGTAGAGTCGCACACGGCTGTGGTTGGATTGTTTAGACTGACACCTTGAACCATAACGGTAGTCGCAGAGAAGGAGAAATGTGATAAATGCTCTCTCCACACAGATCTGCTCCTGCTGGCCAGAAGCCTTCAGAGTGCTGCAGCCTTCGCTAACTGCAGCAGATGATGATTTGATTTTTGCTCGTCTGCTGTAGAAAGAACTTATGAGAACTTTAGGATGTAAAGTTAGTCTTTCTGCTCGGTGTAGTGTGTTATTTTATTCACATGTTTAACCCCCAGAAACCCAAATTTAGAAAACTGCAAAATCTTTTTTTAACCTTTCACATGTTGTTCTAGGAGGCCAGATAAACGGGCCTATTTACACATTTTAACAGCCAATAGTGTTGCAGAACTGAACAATAGACCTATTAGCAATGTAAATGTGGTTTTTAAAAAAATGGGGAAGGCTTATTTTTGTAGACTTAAATCTGATGTTGTAGTATTACAACCGTGGGTCTTTGGGGGTTAAAGGTGAGGGTCACTGAGAAATGCATAATGCTTATTTTAAAATGCGATCGGTCACTCTGAATTCAACATGCAGGCTGAACGCGGAAACAGCCGTCTACCCTTCTACCCCTATTTCCTGCACTAGCCGCTGATGGGGAAGCACTCAAATCAGAAGAGTCGACAGATCTGCATCACATTATAAATTAGCTTTCATGGACTCGGCCATTTTGGCTTGCCACCACGGACGGCTGTTGCTGATTTAGCATCAGGAGAGAGCAGAGCGTGTCTCGGCTAGTAGAAGCTAACTGTTAGCATTAGCAACACAACAACATGGCAGAGCTCCTTCAGGCTTGTGTTATTTGTGGAGATGAGACATTAACATTGAATTGTTTTATCCAACAAGAAAGAAAGAACAAAGGCAGCGGAGGAAGTGTGTTGCCGTTAGTGAATCAGTGGTGAGATGTTTGCATATCATGAATATTAATGAGCGGGAGTCAGAATCCTGCCGTTTCCCACCCCCACTCCTTAGACTAACTTCTACTCCATGAAACAGCAGCGCCAGATAAGACGACTCTTTATTCCTACGAGAGACCACAGCGGATTGATTGTAATAATGAGTGTATGCCCTTTTTTAGCATTATTTCAACGTTTCACCAGTAATGTGTTTTGTTGCAGGAATGGCAGAACTCCATTCAGAAGAACGCAGGTCTGGCCTTCATCGAGTTGGTCAATGAAGGCAGGTAGGTCACCCAGACAACAATCTGCTGTCCTTAATTCCTCCAGCAGCACCTCATTATCTCTCTAGTCTCTTTCCATTGGCCTCCTTCCAGTGTCTCCATGTTTGGGTCAGATCACATCCCCCCACACCCCCAGGGACCCCGTGATGGTGTGGCTATTCAGGATTCTGGACAACAATCAATGATTGGGTAGAGTAGCGGGGTTTAGCTACAGCGAGGGTGGAGAGACCCTGTGAGTTCAAGGCTCAATACCTGCTCATCCCACAGGGATTCAGGAGGAGTGAGGTTAGGCAGACGGTGACAGCAGCTCTGATTGCTGGTTCCTCTGTGACACCGGGGGAAATCACTCCTGATTCCTCACTGTCCACCTGTCTGTTTATGCCTTTGTTTCTGAGCCTTTATCTGTTTGTAATCATATTCTCTGTCTTTAGCGATTTGTCATCCAGAGTGTGTCTTTTACATGTGTGTGTGTGTGTTTCAGACTCGTCTACGTGTCTGCTTTAGACATTATTGAGCCACGGTGTTTACAGCTGGTAATCCCTTACAGTGCTAACTAGATTAGGGCTTTGGCATGGGTTTAAGAGGATTAGTAAATACTTGTTTGGTTTACGTGGTGATGAAGGCAGATGCAGATATTTAGTGTAAACTAAGCCACTTCTCACTAGTCAAAAACAAGCTATTTCTCAGTTTTATGTTCTGTTTTTAATCTAAGTGTCGTTTTAAAGTGTTTCCATCAATGTGAGGAATAACAAAACTGAGTTTGGTGACTCGGCTCAATTTCCAGTCACATGACGCCACAAACACACCAGCTACAGTCAGCAGGTCTAAAACAAAACTGACCACCTCCAAGTCATTTATGATCAATATTATCCCATAAACATTTGTTTTTTTCTCTTTATCTGAGTTTTAAACGTAAGTAAAAATGTTTTAGCTGAAATAATTTCTAACGAGCATTTTTAGATGTTTAAGACTTCAGTTGAGACCAGATGAGCTGCTTGTTTATGGGCTGAAGTCTTGGCTCGATGCCAAAAACTACCAATAAAACGATGAAAACCGAGAATCTGTCCTCGTAATATTTTTGGTGATCGATCTTTAAACTTCCTTAATTCTGAGAATCTTTTCAGAGTCACAGCCGCATCCACACTAGCACATAGCGCCAAAGGGAAGGTCAGTGGTTGTGTTATTGATGGTGAGGCCAGAACAGTGCCACGGAGGTTATGGAGGTTGAGGAGGCCTCCGCTCCCCCGCTGCACTGTGCTGAAACAGCAGGCTTGGGTTACACTCGTCCTCCGGCCGCTGAACTCTCTTCCCACCTCGCTCAGCCTGCCCTCCACCTCTCCTCCACGTCTCCTAGTCTGTTATTGTTCCACTTTGCACAGCGCCGACCTGCAGGCCTGTGGAGAGCTTTCTTTGACCTGCACAACAACGACATGCGTATTTCATCAGCACTGATGAGGAGGAGGGAGCTAGACTACATGTGTAGGAACATGAGCAGAGATCCTCCCTCTTGTCAGATGCATATCATTAACAAATCAATTAGCACCCGAGAACAAATCTGCTCTGGTTCAGTTTGCTAATTAGATTTTCTGCTCTTCTGTTAGGGTCTTTGACAGAATTTCAGAGATGTTGCTGCTTTCGTTCTGGTGGTCTCCAGAAATCAGCATGAAATTAGTTTAGGATACTGTGAAGCTCAAGATTTAGTAACCATTTAGATTTTGGGCGTTTTACTCCCTTGTTGAAGTGGAAAATGCTGTTTTTCTGATGGCCCTGCCTCGTTATCCCCCCAGGCTCCTCAGCCACACTATGAAGGACCACCTGGTTCGTGTTGCTAATGAAGCCGAGTTCATCCTGAGCAGACAGCGGGCTGAAGACATACACAAGCATGCAGAGTTTGAGGTAAGACGATACACACTTCTAGGAGACTTGTGTAATAAGTTCTCATTGTTATTTGTTTTCTAAGCAAACTAACTGGTCGTAATGAGGAAATATTCTAATATAATTTAATTGAACCACAGCAACGACATGTCCATAGGTCTACAGGCAGGCTCCATTGCTGTGTGTGGATAACTGGATCCACGGACGATCATGACATGTATTTTTTTGTTTTGTTGATTATTTTATGTAGAAGTGGGTATTTTGGCAACTGGTGACATTTTCCTTCACCTGAACAATGTTCTCCGACGTCTCATTTAGTTTCTACTTCTAAATATAAATGAACCTTTTCAGATCTGGAGGATTATTGTGCTGAAGCTAGTTAGAGAGTCATCATTGGGTCAGTGGTTTGACTAAACTTTGGATGTGTTTATTAGAACGGTGGCATGAATACCCACACACACACACACCATGTGATGAATACTAACCGCTGTTTAGTGTTTATTTGTCCTCGGGTGTGTCTAGCCCAGACATCTAGACGAACCGTGTCGGTAAGATTTAGCTCTGCTGGTCGGTTTAGCCGTGGTTTATTGTAGCCTCAACAGGTCTACCTTTGGCCCAAACAGTTTGTGATGGATGTTGCGACGGAGGAAAACTACAACTATGGCGTTATCTATTTTGAATGAGTGAATAAAGTACGGATTCGCTGCTTCTTGGACGTTGCATGGCGACTGCCCCGTTGACTGATTTCCATAGTGACGACATGTTGCTCTGATTGGTCCTAGCGTTGTCCGTTAGCATGCGGAGACCGTTTGAAAGACAACCGTAGATTTCACCCGATGACTGATCTCTGTCAGTAGGTCCCGTCCATATTATATGTTTACATATTTATTAGGAGCGCTCCAATCCGATCACATGATCGTCAGGGAACCAGGTGGGAAAAATCGGATTTAACCTTAAGCCGGGCGTACACTGTGTGACTTTTTCACTCGTAGCGTTCAGCTTCAGCTCAAACTGTACGACTTCCTCGCAGAGCAGATCTCACGAGTCATGCGCTCACACTGCACGACCCAGTTCTCGGATGTGACCTGACTGCTCACACACTACGTCTGGTAGCAACACGTCTGACCTAAAAATATGCTAAAAATAGCAGTTTTTACTCAACACGTCAGACTTTTTTGTCTTGTTTTGCCTGTTGTCCTTCGGGAGTGCTGCAGGAGGACACACAGGGATTTATGGGGGTTGGATGAGGAAAACCAAATAAAGAAAGTAAATCTGTGTTTTGTGATCAGTTTAATTTGACATGAACACGACAAACACGCTTTCTTGACAATCTTTGTGAGTAAAAAAAACGTGTAGAAATTAAAACGAACAGCGTGTGTTATTAGGGAAATAGCGGGCGAGCGGTGTTGATGCAGGATTGCGCATGCGCCGTGAGCGGTTCTGATACTTTTTGGGTCGCAGCTGCTCGCAGCGCCGCTTCAACAGTGCGATACCCTCACGAGGGACGAGCAAAATATTAAACGCGCCAGAAGTCCGTGCGACCTCACGACTGCTGATCGGTAGCTGGTCACGTGGTGTTAATCGCCTCTCGTAACCCCCTGTACACTACACGACCGCCCGGCGCAAAACTCGCCCCGATGTCGTGGATTCTCGCACGACTGGAAAATCGGCTCAAAAAAGTGAAAAAGTCGCACAGTGTACGCCCGGCTTTACACAGAGCACTTGTTGCCCTAGGAAATTTAAATTTGAATGCAATTTAAAGCAAACAGTGAAGGGAGTGGATTAGACATGTGTAATATGTGCAAACTGGGTGTTTAACATGGTGAAAAAGCAGAGCTGCGTTCAGCACGACAATTCTGATGTGCCACCTTAAATAAACTAACCCTCTGCAGTTTTCTGCCACCATTTGGATAAGCCAGCCGACACGAATAAAAGACGCGTTAAAGAGGAAGCTGTCTATGGGCAGCAAAAACGCCAACATAGCAGTATAGTTATCACACTGGATGAGTGTCTGTGGTTGTAAAGGTCTCAAGGTTTCTCTGCCTAACTTTACACACGCAGCTGCTCTACAGGTGTTATGTAGAAAAGAGTGACCCTGTCACTCAAAGCAGCCGCACGCTGAGTAAACTATTTAAAGTATGAGCGACAAGTCTACTTTTAACCTAAATAACATGTTTCTTATTAATAGCATTTCTAAATGAGTGATGTATTATTGCAGATGAGCTAAAGAAAGAAATGCATTAATGATTAAAAACACTTCAAGGCCAAATCTAGTGTGGTCTCCTGCATTTCTAAAGGATCGGATTTTTGTGTTTTTCCAGAAAGATTTTAGCTGTGATGAGTTTTATAATTGGTGTGTTTTTAGTGTTTTATATGTGCTCGTTCATGTTTAACTGAACAGCACTCTGGTCGACAGTGTTGTGTAAAAAGTGATATAGAATGAAAAGTGGATTGGGACTCTGTGTCGGCAGATTCTTAAAGTCAAATGACTCTGAATCAGATCTGGAGCGAAAAACAAGTGATCGGAACATTCCTAGTATGAGGAAGTCTTTCCAGACTATCTCTTAACTGCACACTCAGAAACCTTTTCTCAAGTTCTTGTTACAAACGCTGCCTTAGACCTGCAGCTGCAGGAGCGGCTCTGCCCTGACCCACCGGCACCCTGCACTGCCCTCACTCCACCCTCTGCTTTCTAGATCTCACCAAAGTCCTTTCCTGCCCTGCTGAGATCCTGTCCGTTATATTCCCACTGGAAGTGTATTTTGTTAGTGACAAGGATACGGGATCCTCCCCTTCCTTTCCATCCCTCCGCTGGTCATTTCTCAGAAACTTGCCGGCACTAAAAGCTGCAGACAGACCGAGGAGGAGGGGTCTGTATGGAAACCGTCGTGTTTCTGTCCGTTATTTCCTTGCAGATCTCTTGTTGCATAGGAAAGTGTCGACTGACTGTTGAATAAAACCACATTACCTGGCTGAAGGCAAACATGCAGTCACATGGAGGACAGCCTTTTCTCTTTCTTTGTACTTTGAGGTTGTAACTTTTCCCTCCGCCTTCCTTTTCAGTCCCTAATCAGATATCGAGCACAGCTTGTCCCAAACTATGTTTCACAATTGAATTCCCCACTTAAATGCAGTTGCTCCTCTGTGACCTCTGAGAAGAAGTGAGCCTCTGATAAGTCTTGCTCTGATATTGCTGTATTGATTTTTGCCTTCATACAAGCTCGGTTTGAGCCTGCCAGAGCCAACCGTTTCATTTTGCACTGCCACAATAAAAATAACAGGCCAATGAAACCCCCTCCCCCTCCCAAGTGTGGGGGTGGTGCTCGTATCTGAAATACTTTCAGCATCAAAGCATTGTTCTTCTGTAATGTGTCTTTGTGTCACTATTGTCTTTCTTTGACGAATAAACCTTAAAAACAGCCTCTGCGGTGTCACATGTTGGTTGTTCTGTTGCATTCACAATAACCAAGGACCCACCTGGCTACGAGCTGCAAAAGGCACACGTGAGAGCGCTTGTTGTGCACAACGCCAACAAATTTCTACTCTGAATGAAAATAATTCAAGGCATTAAAACAAATTTATGTGTGTTTCTTGTCAGATTTCATATCCTAGAAGGTGCTGATAGAGGCCCGTTATGATTTAGATAGCAGGTTCCCTCAGAGACGCAACATATGCTTTCCCCCTCTCGCTGTCTCTCTCTCTGGTTCTCACTCTGGCTCTCTGTGGAGCAGAATTGAGTTATCTTTGGGCCTGAGAGTAAGTTATTACAGTGGGCTTAGGGTGAAACAGAGATGAAGATAACTGGGGGGGAAATCCAATTACCTTTTAGGGTTCTCCATCTAATAGGATTCTTAATGCGAAGGTGATCTAGAGATCGAGTGCTCGGGCCCAGCTACGGCAAACGATAGACTGATATTTTACACAGAAGCAGAGAAGAGACAGAGCCCAAGAGATAGAAAGCAAGGCAGAAATCGAACTCCCTCTTTTTATAGGGCTGTTCATTAGGGATGAAATGTGGTGGGCTCAGGGGCACAAGGGCAGATAAGAAGGTTCAGATAGGGAAGAGTGAGCAGGACTCAAGTCATTTCTATTCTTACCCACCATTCCCTTCTGCTTCTGTAGCCCCTTGATGCATCTTCTGCTGTTCTATGGAGTAATTGAATTAACCATCAGAGGGACCCAGTAAAAGCCAGATGATAGCAGCTAATTAGTGCATGCTGCCTTAGCGTGTCCTCTGCAGAGCCTGTAAAACGAGCTGGTTCTCCCCTTCTAAATGATGTTACCATTGAGTTAAGACTCATTATGTTGCTATCATAGTCTGAGTCTGCTTAGCCCACCAGACAATAGGTCTAAGAAGAAAAAAAAACTAGTTATATTTGTACTTTTGTGACTTTTTGTTTGCTTTAAACAGGTCTGTCATCATTGGTAGAATTTTTGTTTTTTCCCCCAAAGGTGATATAAATAGTTTTTGGTAACAATTGTGAGTTGAATTAAAAAGCATCCAATCTACCACAATAGAAGTGTTTGGTTTTGGTGGCGTTTGAGTAGCTTCAAATGTAATTTGGCTCACAAAACATCCAGGTTTGGCTCGATAAGGTTAATTTATCATTGATGCACCTTTTAGCTGGTGATGGAGGTAGTCACAGGCCTGAGTAGGCGAGTAGGAACTGCTGCAGTGCTTCATGATGCCCAGCCGCTCGGCTTCACACATCATCGTTAGACCTCAGTGAATTTTAGTCGGTGCACGCGTGAATGATCAAAGATGGCTGGAAGAGGGTTTTTTTGTGACTACGTTGTTGAACCATAGTGCGAGAGGAAGCGTGTGCTTTCAAAATTCTAAACTTTCACATAATTGAAGGTGCAATTTGTAAGAATTGTAATATGAAATAATCACAAAACAGTCTAATGTCTCAGTCGTGTTGGAAGGAAGGTTGTACTGGAACAGATTTAATTCTCAGTCATCTGGGGATTTGTCAGTTTTTCTCCTTTTGAAAAAACTAAACAAAAGCTGGATGTAGTTT